CCCTGTGGCAGCTGCCGGTGCCCCCCACCCAGCGAGGTCACACGGGGAGCAGGGAAAGGAGGGAAAAGAGGGAAAGGAGGGAAAGGCCAGGCTGGATGTGGCTTGGAGCAACCTGGGATAGTGGAAGGTGTCCCTGCCCACGGCAAGGGATGGAACTGGATGAGCTTTAAGGTCCTTCCAACCCAAACCATTCCAGGATTCTGTGGCCGCTCTCAGTTTTGGGGCTGGAGTATGGGAGGTGTCCCTGTCCTTGGGGACAGGGACATCCCACGGGTGCTGAGCCCCAGTTTGGGCTCAGAGGTGCCGGGTGGGGACACGAGCGGCTGAGACACTCGGCTGGCACGTGGCAGATGGAGCCGTGCATCCCAGTGCCCGACAGAACCCCAGGATCATTCCGGTTGGAAAAGACCTCCAGGACTGGATCCAAGTGTTCCCAATCCCCACCCTGTGCCCAGCCCAGAGCTCTGAGTGCCACCTCCAGGGATGGGCACTCCAAACCTCCCTGGGCAGCCACATCCAATATCAGACCACCCTTCCAGGAAGGAATCCCTCCCGAATTCTTCCCTGCTGTTTTTTTTCTTCCAGCCCCCGTGTCCCTCAGAACAGTGACTGTGCCGGGAGGTGGGAGCTGGCAGAGGGATCAGGAGACACGACAGGACACGTTCACTGGAGATTCGGGGCACAAACTGCAGCAGGAGTTGATTTCTCCCCCAGTTTACCGGAATTTCTCCCCCCAGTGCAGAGGAGAAAGGTGGATTGCCCTCTCCGCCGCGCGCTGGCAGCATTTATCACTACCAGGGACAGGAATCTCTCCCCAGTCTCTCCCTATTTCCTTCTTTTTTTCCTCTTTCACTCTCATTTTCCTCCTCGCTCAGATCTCCCGGGCAGCGCTGCCGATCAATCCGCTCCTAACGCAGCTCCCGCGGCCTCATCCATCAGCACCGAGCATCCGGAGCTTCATGGGCAATTTGGGGCCCAAACCAGCCCATTTGGAGGCTCCGTCATATTTTCTCCATCCCTTCCCCTTTTGTTCCGTGTTTGTAGAGGACAAAGGCAGAGGGGGGAACAGGCAGAGGAGGCAGAGCTGAAGCCCAGGAAACAAAGCGCCTGTTTTCATGGAAATGCCCTGGAAAGGAGGCAGCAAATTTGGGGAAAGGGGAGCACGGGGTTGGGGAAATGTCTGGGGGGGAATTGAGTTCAGTGCTGGCATCGTGGTGTGGCCAGAGCAGGGAAAAGAAGAATAACTGGGCTGGAAGTTTTCCTGCAGGCATTGGGCACTGTTTGAAGCTCTGGAATTTAGATCTATTTTTTAATTAGGGATGGGTTGGGCTGGATCCTGCCTGGGCAGAGCCTCCAGACGGGAGCCACGAGCAGCAGCCGGGTGGGGAGCAGCTCCTGCTTTGCCTCCAAATGTTTTGGGGGCCTGTGAGAAGTTGAAGCCAGGGGGTGACACCCCAGTGCCACCCCCTCTCCCCCTCAAAGGGGATCTGCCCCGGCTGGGGACACAGGCTGGCTGGCATGTGAGGTGCTGTGTCCTGTCCCCTTGTGTCCCTCACATGTCCCCCCGGTGTCTCAATATCACCAATAGTGACCCAGCGATGACACCTGACACATCCAGGACTTGGTGGGACGCAGGATACGCCCACCCATGGGTGGGCAGTCCCAGAGGAGCCCAGAGCAGAGCCCCGGTGGGTGCTGGCACCACGGGACACAGAGCTGGCAGAGTGTGACGCGGATGGGTGACATCCCTGGTGGCACAGAGGGGTGAGGACGCAGCGGCTCCCTGTCACCCCTCTCGGCTCCAGCCGAATTTGGTGTCATCCTGCAGAGGAAGATTATGGTAATTTTCCTCCCCCCTTACGCATAATTTTCCGACCGGGCTGCAGCAGCGGCTGTGGGAGAGGCTGGGTGATGGGAATGTCATCTGCGATTCCATTATCTCCTCCTGCCTCCCTGCTTTCTTTTCCTTGTGAAACCTTCATCAAAATCTGTCGATCTAATTAGGACAATTACAGTCGAGGACAGCTGAAACCCGCCCAGAGCCGCAGCGGCGAGAGGGGGCACCGGGCTTTGGGGGGAGGGGGCTTTGAGGGATTTTTTGGGGTTACTTTGGCTCTGCAGGAGGTTGGATGGGATCGAGGGGTCCCATGTGCTGCTTCCCAGCGTTGCTTTCTGGGGTGCACGGCCCCAAGAGGACGCAAGTGACCTCAGAGGTGTCCTCATGGCTGTGTCCTGTCGGGGGACACGGAGGCTGCACGTCCTGGTGACACCCCTGTGTCCCACCCCGCTGGTTCTCACGACCTTCAGGGGCTCTCAGCACCTCTCTGGGGGCAGCTGCCACCCCTGCCCGTGGCACACGTTGTCCCCCATCCCCGGGGGTCTCGGCGAGGTGGCCCCGTGCGCTGCAGCTCCCGGATCCTCATTGTTATTCCACGGGCGCGCCGTGGCAGCTGGCGGGATGGGAGCGGAGTGACAGCGGTGACAGGTAACGGCGACAGCGGCAGCCGGCGGGCTGGCAGCCAGGCCACAGCTCTGCTGGGTCCAGATCCGTGTCTCCACACCGTGGGAGGATGGGGAGAACCCCGGGGGTGGATGTGGATGCTCCAGGATTGTGGGAGCTGCCCCAGGGGGTGCCCGCCCCGCCGTGCTGGGGATGGTCCACCAGCCACGGGCACAGCGAACACAGAGCTCCGCTGGCACCCAGATCCGTGTCCCCACGGTGGAATTAGCCAGGGGAGGATGGGGAGAGCTG